TTTTGGGGATTTGCCCCCGGACGGGGATTTGAGCCCCCAAAAGCCGGACATGTCCGGGAAAATCCGGACGTATGGTAACCCTAAGCATTGCAAAGCTGATGTCAATCTTTGGCTCGACATACCCAGGCGAGCAGACGTTTCCTGCTACGGGACACATCAAATGCAAGGAACGCAGCAGGCTACCGGATGGAAAGCTCAGTGCTGAATTGCGAAACGCCTGCCCAGCCCTTACTCCTAACCTAAGCAAGCCTGTGGCGGCCCGAGCCAAGCAGAATTCACACCGAGGATGATGTAGGTAAGCTTCAATATTTCTTTTTTTCCTAGTTGAGGTTGGTGACCGTTCTATTAGTAAATGAACGATTAAACATTTCTATAACTTGTTATGAAATATTCAGCGTGTATTAAATGTATTTAATTTTATTCATGGGGTCATGGTTAGTGCACATGTCCGATTTCAATCTTGCGGCCCACTGAGATAAAGGAGGGCCACTCATGCAGCCCACTCACTAGCCTAGGTTGCCCATCACTGGGCCAGAGGGACCCGGAGCTGCTGTGACCTGGTGGTTCCTGGGAGGAGGAGCAGAGGGAGCTCAGAATGACTTGGTTCCAGCCGCTCAGCTGACAGAACCCGTCTCTTCCAGCCCTTCCTCCACCAGGTCCCCTCCAGGCCTGCCCCACGCCTCACACCAGCCCCGGATGGAGGCGCATGGGCAGACAGGCCGTTCTCGCTTTGCCAGGCTGGGTGCCAGAGGGACAGGGTAGCTGGCTGGAAAGGGCCCCAACCCTCTCCCCCTGCAGGTACAAAGCGCCTGTTCTCCCACGCTGGCTCATTGCCACAGGCAGCCGCTGGAATTCGCACTTACCCGTGGGCTGAAGCTCGGCAGGAACCTCTCCCCCCGCCCCCGCTTTGGTTCATGCAGGCTATCAGCTGTGCACACGCGTGTGCCAGAGCCCCATGCTGTATGTGCACGAGGACACACGCAGGCCACAGCACGTTTACAGGGGGCCAGGCAGGAGTGGCTGGAGAAGGGGCTCCTGGCTGTATACCAGCCCCTCCCAGGGTCAAAGGGTGAGTCCGTGCTGGTGTAACCCCCCTGCCTAATGGGGAGAGCGCTCTTTCAGCGAGCTATGGGGTGGGGGTGAGTCATGTCTGGGGCACCACCATTAGCCCCCCACAGCCAGAAGCTTCTGGAATTGGGTGTGATAGTTCTGGGTGTGCTCAACGGGGTCCCCTAGCCAGACTCCGACTCCAGCAGGGCAAGCGCGCAGGTGCTTTGCAAAAGGCCCTGGTGGGCTGGGAGAAGCCGAGCCCAGGAGCAGGCAGCAGGAACTTGCCCGGGGCTGGGATCGAGGGGTTCAGAGGGCAGGGTGGGGAGGGGAATCAGGAATGGGGCAGGGGGTTGGGGCACGGGAGGGCGGCCAAGGTGCAGGCTGCAAGCGGTGCTTAGCTCAGGCAGCTCCCAAAAGCAGCGGCATGTCCCCCGCTCTGGCTCCTATGCGGAGGTGCGGCCAGGAGGCTCCACGCACTGCCCCATGTGCAGCTGCCGCCCCCACAGCTCCCAACCAATGGGAGCTACAGAGCTGGCGCTTTAGGCATGGACAGCACGTGGAGCCTCCTGGCTGCCCCTACGCCTAGGACCTGGAGGGGGACATGCCGCTGCTTCCGGGAGCCGTGCGGAGCCAAGACAAGTAGGGAGCCTGCCTTAGCCCTGCTGCCTGGATTAATGGCCCAGACAGCAATGCTGACCGGAGCCACCAGGGTCCCTTTTCAACTGGGCATGCCGGTCAAAAACTGGACACCTGGCAACCCTACTTGGCCGATAGTAGAGATATGGGGATCAAAGACTAACTGAGACTCACCCGGCCTAACCCTAAGCTTTTGGGAACTCTGCATTTCTTCTCACAGGGTTGCTGTGGGGACCGGCCTGTTTAGATTTCATTTCTTTTCTTTCTTGATGGATCACTGCAGATAATGGATGTCGATCATAAAGTAGCCATGTTATGGTGTAAAAATGAAGTTAAGTTTCTTTGTCATAAGATTTTATAAAGTTGGTACTTAAGTTCATGCCCTTGGCTTTTTTGGGGGCGTGAATGTGGGGAAATGGGCCTGTGCAATCCGTGCCGGAAATCCTCAGGGACAATTCTGGGGCTCCAGCTGCATTTCTAGGGGAGTTGGGGGGGTTTTAGGGACTGGCGAAGGGCAGTGAATTCTAGCCCACCCACCAGGCTCCTCGCATGGGGCCGTGAAGTGCCCAGAAAGGAGCAGCTCTAATGCCGTTGTTATCGTTCTGGATTCTTCCCATTCCCAGCAGCAGCCCCGCTGCGGGGGGCTGGAGGAGGCAGGGGGTTAGGCCACACATTGCCAGATGAGCAGCCCCATAGCCCACCCCACAGCCGGGCAGCATGGAAAACTTCCTGCCGTTTTCAGCTTTGCAGCAGGGCCTGGCACAGCCGAGTGCTAGGGGCTGCACCAACACACCGGGAGGGCCGAGCCCATCTTGACAAGGCAGACAACGAGGTGGTCAGGGGGTGACTTGCCCAGGGCCCCGGCAGCTGGAACCCAGGGCCCCTGAGGCCCAGTCCAAGGACCGAGCCCCCAGCACCTCACCCTGGCTCAGCCCAGAGGTGGAAGGGCCATTGTGGGGCACGGAAGGGGAGCGGGGCACCATGACCCGTTCAGTCATGAGACTCTCTGCAGCACTGCCGGGGGCGGGGGGTTGGAAGGAGAGGCAGCGGCCCTGTTAGGAGCTGGATGTGGCCCACCAAGGGCCAAACGGCCCTGCCAGAGCCACTGGGGTGGGTCACCCTGAGCCTGATTAAGGCAAAGGACCATTCAGCCTCCCTCCTGTGCACATGGAGCCACCCACAAGTCATCAGCAGAGTCTGAACCCAGCAGCTTGGCTGCGTGAGCTAAGGGAATAATTCCAGCAGCAGGGTGCAGTAGTAGGCTGTTATCTAATAGGCCAGCCACTGGGGGAAGGACAAATGGACAACAGCCTCCAGTCAGTCAAAGCTTTATTATCAAGTCAACAAAACACAAAAGAACACTTCCTGTGAACAGCATTTCCTGTTCAATAACCACTGTGCCTGCAGCAGGGCCCCTCCCACCCCCCCGGGCCTGCGGGCGGATGGCCAGGAAGGGACTCAAGTCACAGTTATTCTGGTGCAACCTGATCGGCTCAGTGCAGCGGAGCACAGGTCTGGGCCAGCGAGCCAGCGAGCCGGGCTGGGGCTAGAAGGTTTTAGTGCAGTGAGCCACCAAGGGCTCAGCCCTACAGCCTGCCAGTGTAAAGCAACCTCAGAGCAGCATGACCCCCCCCCAACCCCCAGGGAGGAGCATGGGGGGCTGTAGTGCAGACCCACCTCGTGAAATAACACCCCAGGGAGGGTGCTGAAAACAGAGCAACGATTAAGGAACATAAACTAGGCCTAAGAACCCCATGGAGAGCGGGCGAGGCCGCTGGCCAGCTCACAGCCATGGCAGTCTGGGGCCGGGAGCCTGGCAGGGGCAAACACTCCCTGCCTGCCCCATCTGGGCAGGTTTGTAACAGCAGCGGATGGGGTGGGGGAATTGGACTCAAAGCTGGGGAGAGACTCAGGTTGGACAGCCGGACCCCCTTGGCAGATGGCTGGCGTTCAGCGCCTCCCACACATGACTGCCAATCCCCACCAGCTCCAGGAACCTGGCAGGATGGGGCCCTCGGCGAAAGCCACCGCCCCCATGGGCCTGGCCTACGGAGTGCTTCCCGGGGCGGTGCCCAGCGCTGTCCCCAATAGCGGGGCCTTTGTTCTGATCCATACGGCGCTGGCAGATCACAGCCCCTTCTCTCAAGGCCCCCGCAGCCCTCTGCCCCCCACCCCAAATACTACATGTAATAACTCAACCATCTGAGCGCCAGCCGCCTCCCTGCCAGGGTGCCCTGTGCCGGCCACGCACATGGAGACAGCCACGGCCACCCTACCCGAGTCTCTTCAGAGCTGGAGCTGAGCCCTTTGCAGGAAGCTCGCCCGCCCGCCCGCGGGGGGACACGCCCAGCTCTGCCAGGGCCCCTCAGTAGCAACTGTAGTGGGGCCTGTTGTAGGGGTGCCCAGACCTCCACCTCACCGGCTGCCGCGTCATGATGAAGCCGTGAGAGCGCCCACCACGGCCTCTCCTGGTCGGGCTGTGGGGGTGCGGAGGGAAGCTGGGTGCTGGGTTTCCCGAGAAGCCGGGGCAGGGCCCCGGGGCCGGCAGAGCGTGCGGCGCGCCCCAGAAACCTTGAAAGCCGCTGCCAGGACCTAGGGCGAGAAGCAGGACGAGGGGGAGAGACGAGAGAGGGTCAAGTGCCTGGCGATTGGGCCCAGCCAGTCCCGGCGCCCGAGCCCCTCCGAGCAAACACTAATCCACCATTCCGGCAGCAGGGAGCACAGGCAGGAAGATCGTCCATGGCTGCAGCTCTCCCAGGGCTTCACCGGCTGGAGCGTGGGCTGAAATGCAGCCAGCTCCTCGGTGCAGCACGGCGGGTGTTTAACGCCATGGAACGACGGCGCAGGCCGGCCAGGAAGGGCTGCAGAACCACACAGCTCGACGGGGCGGGGGGGTCAGAAGAGGTGGTTACTCTGTCGGAGTTGGGCCAGGAGCCCAGGACAATTCTTGAAACCAGGTAGGGGAGGCAACGTCCTTAATTGGACCAACTTCTGGTGGGGAGAGAGACGAGCGCTGGACCCACACAGACAGGTCTGGGCAGGGTGCTGGGGGGGGAGGGGGAACAGATTGGGAGGGTCAGCAGTTAACATGTTTCAAGGGACCATTCAAGATGAAGTGGCCTGTTAACACCTCTCCAGTCATGGGGGCGGGGGAGAAATACGAGAGGGAAGAAAATAAAAAGGTGGTGGGGGGAGGCATTAGTGGGTTAACCCTCCCTCTCCCTCCCATGGTAGGGTCTTAACAGGGCACTTCATCTCCAGTGGTGCCTGGAAAGGTGTTAACTAGCTCTGCTAAACACCACCCCGTCCACACAGGGGATAACACCAGCTCAGGCTGCGGGGCTGGAAAATGGCTGTGTAGACATCCGGGCTTGGGCCACAACCCCGTCCCTGCGACCCTGCAAATGGGCAGGGTCCCAGAGCCCAGCCTCCAGCCCGAGCTGGACCGTCTACACTGCAACTGTTAGCCCCACAGCCTGAGCCCTGCAAGCCACAGTCCGCTGACCCAGGCCTGCTGCAAACATGCCTCGCTCTGTGTAGGTCGAAGGCTTTTCTCTCTCCCCACCACAAGCTGGTCCAATGACAGACATTACCTGCCACCCTGCAGCTCCCATTCGTCCCTTTCCCATCTCGGCCAGCCCCTGCTCTGCCTGGGTATGACACTGACAGGGGAAGAGCGCCCCCTACTGAATCCCCTGGGACACCCATCCCCCCATGCAGGGGGCACAGCTGGGACCGGAGGCTCTATGGGTCAGCCCGCCTGGCTCAACGATTCTGCCCACCCCATCCCGAGCCGGGCTCCGACCCATGATTATTCAGGAGAGGCCAGGCCCCGGCTCCAACGCTTTTCCCATCGAGCCGGGCTGAGGGGAGCCAGGGGACCCGCGCAGAAGGAGCGGGACACCGAGGTCTCAGCAGATGCTGCCCACCTGCCTGCTTCCTGGGCTGCCGATAGCAGAGACACGCCTCTCCTCGCTCAGTAAGATCCGAGCCACGCAGCAGAGGGAGCAGAGGGGGGAGCGGACGGGGGCCGGCAGGACCAGGAGTTACAGGCGAGCGTGAGAACCAGCACAGGGCAGGAAGGCGGCAGCAGACCCATGAAGACGAGGAGCGCGTTGGGCCGTGGGAGAGCAGTCGGGGCAGGGATACACGGTCACAGCCGTAAGGAACATGGGAACTGCCCCATCGGATCAGACTCACGGTCCAGCCCAGGCGGCCAGCTGCTTCACAGGCAGGTACAAGAAATCCCAGAAGGCCCAACTATGAACCTGCCCCCCAGGGGCGTTTCCGGACTGGCTTGGACCCCAAGCTGGAGGATTTAGACCCCCTCTCTAACCCTCTGGAGCGTAACTGCAGCGACTCTGTACGTACCAGGTCCAGTCACCTCTGGAATGCTACTAAGCGCTTGGCCTGAGTCACGTCATGTGGCAGAGAGTCCCACAGGTAAGTCACTTTCTAGTTTGTTGAGCAGCCTCCTGGTTCTAGGCTTTGGCCGCAGCAGGGCTGGAGGGAAGCCATGCCAGAGCCAGGAAGGCTGCAGCCGGCCAGACGAGGAAGGAGCCGGGCACGGAGAGGCGACAGCAGTGGGAATGGACAGGAAAGGTCAGATGGTGCAGAGATCACAGAGGAGACAGGCCACCTGCGGAGGAGGCAGCAGAGAGAGAGGTGTCCAGGCCAGACTGAACAGGAGCGGAGAGAGAGATTGAGGCAGAAAGGCGTGAGCGCCAAGTGAGAATCCCCCGGGGCCAGGCGCACCAAGGGGGGTGCAGCAGGAGCGTGGGACCCAGGACCTACCCTCCGCACTGTAGCCGGGGCAGTTGTCAAAGCTGATGTATCCGGAGAGGGGCGTGCCAGGCCCCGCGTGGCTGGGGAGGAAGGGGGAGTCTTCCTGGAAAACAGGATCCTTGGAGGGGCAGCAGAAGTCGAAGGGGGGCCAGGGCGGAGGGGGCGGCAGGCAGGTGCTGGGCTGGGGCATGCAGGACAGGCGGCTGTTGTCCCACTCGGGCCCTGCAGAGGCAGAGACGTTACTGAGCGCGGCGCCTGGGACGGTCACGGCAGCTGAGCCGGGCAGAAGGGTTGAGAGCCTTTGCCGAGGACAAGGACTCCAATCCAGGGGGGCTGTGCAGGGAGAAGGGGCAGAAGGAGCCATTCGAGACCAGGGCCAAGTTCGGGTCAGCTCATTCCCCACAGGCTGGTAGCACAGGCAGCTCCGAGAGCAGGGCCCCGTGACGCCGCTCCCGGGGCTCCGAGCCTGCTCCAGCCCTCCTGCAGCTCTCGGGGGGCAGCGGCCTCCGGAGACTGCATCCTCAGGACGTGCTAGATTTCAGAGGCACCAGCAACGCGTTGGCCACACGCGCCCCTCGCTGGCTCTTGGCAGCAGTGACCTACACGGGCACCGTACCCAAAGCCCCACTGGCACGACCTGGGTGCAGTGGGTGGCATTAGGGAGCTAGGGGTGGGGGGGCTCAGGAGAAGAGCTGGGGGCTACCGCCCTGTCCCCCACCCCCCACCCATAGGGGCCTCATCAGCATCAGGACACGGCCACGGGCAATCCCTGACGAGTGTGGGGAAGGTGCCCACCCCCCACTCGGCAGCACGGCGCTCAGCCAGCTCCCCTGTCAGCAGCAGGAGAGAGGTGACCAAAGCCAGACACTGGCTGAGGGGGCTGGGAGCCGGCATCAGGCTACCCCCTAAGCGGACGGGGGTCCCTTCCCCAGCAGCCTCTCCCGCGCGGTTGCCCAACCT